CTATGACCCAGCAATTGCACTCCTGGGTATTTACTACAAAGACACAGATGTAGTGAAAAGAAGGGCCATATGCATCCCAATGTTCATAGCAGCAATGTCCGCAATAGCCAAACTGTGCAAAGAGCCGAGATGCCCTTCAACAGACGAATGGATAAAGATGTGGTCCATATATACAATGGAGTATTACTCAGCCATCAGAAAGGATGAATACCCAACTTTTACATCAACATGGATGGGACTGGAGGAGATTATGCTAAGTGAAATAAGTCAAGCAGAGAAAGTCAATTATTATATGGTTTCACTTATTTGTGGAACATAAGGAATAGCATGGAGGACATTAGGAGAAGGAAGGGAAAAATGAATGGGAGGGAAATCGGAGGGAGAGATGAACCATGAGAGACTATGGACTCTGAGAAACAGACAGGGTTTTAGAGTGGAGGGGGGAGGGGGATTGGTAGCCTGGTGATGGGTATTAAGGAGGGCACATACTGCATGGAGCACTGGGTGTTATATGAAAACAGTGGATCGTGGATCACTACATCAAAAACTAATGATGTATTGTATGGTGACTAACATAACATAATAAAATTTAAAAAATAAAGAGATTAGTTTTGTTCTAGAACTTAAAAAAACTAAATTTATTTAGAGAAGAGGTAGAGAGTTAAATAATGATTCTACAAGTAACAAATGTTGTTAGTGTTCATCCTTTGATATTATTTAGAAGGAAATAAGTTGGATATATTCCTCATATGGCTTTGGTGAACAAGGTCAATTAATTATAGAGTATTAGTGCTTAGAAGAGAACTTCAAATTCTGCAGGTTTTACATCCTATTCTAAAAAGAAAATAAAAACAAAAGTTAAGGTTCAAGATTACCCAGGACTAAGAGGCAGAGCTGAAATTCAACTCTTTCTCAGCCTTCTGCTCCTTTGCACTATTTCATGATGCATTTTGGCCAGGATTCACAATAATGACCATGGAGAACACTGCTCTTTTGGCTATTCTAACAATGATTAATGTGTTTTGTTTTCTGTGTAGCTTGTAGGACACAATGAAACAAGAGGACATATGAAGTGTTGTCTTGTGTTCTTGTTGCTACCTAGAAAACATTTTTTTCTTTGAAAAGAATAAAAATATAACTTAAATACACACCCACTAATAATCTCTGATAAAAGTCTGGGTTACTGTCAGGAAAACAAACAGCCTAAACATTTTACCTTGCATAGTTACAGAAAAAGTCCTATTATATTTAAATTGATTTCAGGACCTTCGGAAATTTATATTAGCCAAGGAACAGTTAAGATATTCATATAATCCGTGGCAGAGGAGGAAGCAAAGTTAAACTCCCAAATATAGAAGTAGTATTCATCATTAACCTCTCTTCTTTCCTATCACCACTAAAAGATTAAGAATCTATGAAAAAGGAAAGTTAACATTACACAAACTGTTCTGAACTACAAACAATTTCAGAAAAAAATTTCTTCAAAGAGGAATTCTCACTTACCTTTAATTCATAACCAACTCATGCATTCCAGTTTTCATGACTTCTAAATAAAATCACTAACCTGTTCCTAGTACGGTCACATATATCCTGATTCCCTCATTCACTACACACTTGCAGTCCTCAACCTACCTAATCACTCAGCAGCATTTGATCCTACTCACCACTTCCTTTCCCCCCTAAAACTCTTTACTCCCATCTTAAATGTTCTCAGAAAAAAAGGTAATTATATGAGGTGATGGATGTATTAGCTAACCTTACTGTGGTAATCATTTCACAATATATATGTGTATCAAATCATCATGCTGTACACCTTAAACTTACATAGTTATTTGTCAATTACAGCTCAATAAAGTTGGAAAAAATAAAATACTCAAATCTCAAAAAAAAAAAAAACCAAAAACAACCCAACAACCCACAAACAAACAAAAACCTCTTTACTACCTTTGCTTCCATGACACCACTCTCATCTAATTCTCTCCTACCTCTTTGGTTATGCCTTCTCATTTTTTTTTCCACAAGCAGCACTTCTACTCATCCTTCAGTTGTTGGTGGTTCACAGAGCTCACTCCTTATCCCAGTTCTCTTCATTTACTCAAAAATACTTATTGAGCACCCACTACAGGCCAGGAACTCTTCTAGATAATTGTGGCAGCAGTGAACAAATCAGATGAATATCCCTGCTCTCTTGAAGCATACATCATATAATCAGACAAAAAAATAATACATAAGTAAATGATATAGTGTTAGAAAGGTATAAGTCGTATAGAAGACAAACAGAGCAGAATAAAAGGAATCCATTCTAAAACTCTCCTTAGACCACCATATTAATACATCCATGACTTTATCACCTATATTTTAACTATTCCCAAATCTCTATCGGTCATATATTTTTTCTGAGCAGCAATACTCTAAAGACCTTTTCATAATTTATCATGCCTCACACTCAACTCAACATTCATCTTCCACCATAACTTATTCCTGTTTTGATAATGGCAATAACCATCCACTGGGCCAGCCAAGTCAAATACCTAGATGCCTCCTGTAGTCTATAGATCTTACCTGTTCCAGAATCTTATTTATCTGCATAAATATCTCTAACATTCTTCTATTCTCACTTCTGCTCCTCTAATTAAAAACCTCAGTAAATAGGAGGATCAACTCTGTTGTCTGATGCCTGGGCTGAATCATAGTTCCACTGTTTACTTACCATTTGGTTTTGAATTTAACCTCTGTAAGTGCTAGTTTTCCTATCTGTAAAATGAAGACAACACTCCTAGGTTTGCTTTGATTAAATGAGTGTGGCTGGAAGTATTAGCATCAAAATCATCAACAGTAGCAGCAGCATGATTAATTCCTAAAATAGCCTCTTAAGTTAGTTTTCCTTCTTCCATCCTTACCCTTCTTTAATTTTTCCCAACACTACAGCCCTAGTAACCATCAAGATCCACAGGCCTAAACACAATGACCCTACTAAACAGGTTCCAAAGGCCTTTGGCGTAAGTCCAAATGCCTTAGCATGTAAGAAAATTCTTTTCTCCTTCTTTCCTTTTTAAAACTTAAGCTTGCTAAAGTATCATCATTATAGGCAAGCCAGCCTGGAGCTGAACTTTTCTGTGAAAGATCTTCAAAATATAAACTTCAGTTTCTTTTTTCAATTTACAGTTTCAGCAGATGATTTTAAAGTTATCACAAAGTTGTCTTTTTTTTTCCTTCTAAGTACATATTTCATTTTTATGGTCAAAATATTAAATGGCCTTTGATTTAATCCATCACCATGGTATGATGGAATACAAAATAAGCATTGTGAAAACCTTTGCAGCAATGGAAGCCAAACAGATGATTTAAATTATTTCCTTCAGGCTTTTTATCACATTTTCTCTTCCTATGAAACAAACACAAAACACCATTGATTGACTTCATGGATTGTTATGCGGCTGTTTGTGTATGTTTTTGTATGTGTGTGTATACTCATATGTGTTTGTAGGTGAACTGGCACTTACTAAAAGCATCTTCTTAGATGATAAAAAAAATGTCACCATAAAAAATTATGTAATACAATAAAATGTCAGAAACTATCATAGTGTTCTAGAAGCTATTTATATGATTTTGTAAAAAGCCATATCTGCCACTAAAAAGTAAAAACATTCTATTATTCATTTATTTGACAAGTACTAGTGTAAAAAGAACATAAAATGAAATTTACTAAATACAATTATTGAGGTAAAGCAAATTCACAATTATAGAGCAGGTCATAGTGTAAGAGGATAAACTAAAATGGAGTATGTGTTCTTTAAGCTTTATAATTACTGAGAAGCCTTCTGAAACAAATATATTACATTACTTAAGGACTAAGCCATATTTTAAATATATTTTACTTATTGACCATTATGAAACTTGCAGAATTTATATATTTAAAGTGCAACTACTTTAAACATTGATAAAAGTAGTTTAGACAATTATGAGAATTAAATTTTAATAATGTCATAATGCAAAAGAAATATGCTGTCTACCAATTAATTATCAAAAAGCTAATAACCCAGGGCTTAGTATTAAGATTTGGATTTAGTATCATCATATTATATGTTATTATTAATATACATAAATTTAGATAATATGAAGTTAAATTATCTTAACTTTTACCTTAAAAATACAAATATTTTATTTTTAAGGCCTCAGATTTTTAAAAAGCCAAAATATTATATATAATGTATATCTCACTGACATCTACTCAAGAAAGAATTCTGGTAAAATTGTTTATTACCAGAGTTTCTTATGAGAATAAAATGTATTCTAAAATTTGGTTATTTAACCACCATAACATAGTACATATCCCTTATAAAAAAATTCTAAAAATGAAAGTAAAGAGCTTAATTTTTTTAAAAAATTGTAATTTGTTTTACCATTACAATGTTTAATCACATCTTTTAATATTTTTTTCATTTTATATCATGAAAACTTTTGTTATCTTATGTGTTCCTAGACAAATAAAAATTAACTAGAAAAAATCTAAAACTATGTTTATGATATTCAAGATTGTGCAATGTGAGTAATAATAAAGAATGAATTTAGCAAGGTAAGGAGACATGCACTACATACTATTAAAGTGTCAGTGTCTAATTAGCCATTGAAAACAGTAAATAGAATCCTAATGCTCACACCCTTAAATATGACCAATTAATACAATGAATAAAGAAAATTAGGAGATAAAACAGTACTATCAATCTTGTTATGACAGCCAAAAATGACTTTGCTTGTAAAGCAGTTAAGGTATTCTGAAATTGTCAGGGACTAATTATTAATTGGCTACTTAGATATAAAAATTTACAAATGATTAATGTCTATTTGATGATACCCCTATATTGTGATGAATCATAATTAGACATTTGTAACTTGATATTCCTCTACCTGTCCAATTCTTTCACAAGAACACATGAAATACTGTTATATTCAAGATAGTGTCGAGGAGGATTACTTATGAAACATGTGGAAGATTTTACCTGTCCAACCAGGCAAGCAGACTCTTGGCTGCTCCTATCAGATCCACAACCGAAGTCAGAAAGTCATTTGGCAATTTTCGGCTGGTTCTCCCATCATAATGGCCACTCCTTCTCCTCCCTGTTATAAAATTCTGTAGATTTTTGGCAGATGCATTCAGCTTGTGAGAAAGGGTTTTTAGATTTTCTGTTTCCAAGCCATAATTCTGAATTATAAAAAGAGAGAAAACAAATATACTTGAAGTCAATATTATATTCATTCACTAAAATATTTACTAAGTATGTTACTATGTACAGGCAACAGAATTAGTACTAAGTTACAAATGACTAAGATAGGATTCCTGGCCTAGCAGAGCCCACAGTCAAGTGAGGATCTGGGCAAATGTAAGATAAACAAATTACAATAAAATGTGTTAAATGCTAATATGAGCATGAAAAGATGAGGGCATTATATCTTGGAAATATACCACGCAAGAAATAAAGATTATTAGAACTCATAAGTGTTTTTTTAAACCCAAACTTATGTTCATTTACTTGTGAAAATCATTTTTATCAGTAATTATTTTTTTATTAAAAGATTTTATTTATTTGAGAGAGAGAGGGTGCATGCAAGTGTGAGCTAGGGGTGGGGCAGAGGGAGAGGGAGAAGCAGGCTCCAGGGAGCCCGACACGAGGGCTCAATCCCAGGACTCCGATTGGGATCATGACCCCAGCTGAAGGCAGACATTAACTGGCTGAGCTACCCAGGCACCCCAGTAATTATTTTTTAGTATCTATTCTATTAGCATATGCATAGTCATGAATGTAGATGCTATGAAAAATTCTGCTTTCCCAAAGTGAGCAAAGAAAGCACGAGCTAACGATAAAATGAAAAAGAAACAAGGGTGCCTGGGTGGCTCAGTTGGTTGAGCAACTGCCTTCGGCTCAAGTCATGATCCTGGAGTCCTGGGATCGAGTCCCGCATCGGGCTCCCTGCTCCGTGAGGAGCCTGCTTCTCCCTCTAACCCTCCCCCCTCTCATGTACTTTCTCGCTCTCTCAAATAAATAAATAAATCTTAAAAAAAAAAAAAGAAAAAGAAACAAATCATATGCAATATAGCTTTATTCTGTGTCCTCTCCATAATGACTCACGTAAGAACTTCTTCTATAATATGGTACCAGAAAAAAACTCTAATTTCTCAGTGGAACCAATACACTTTTTCCTTTTTATAATACAAATTATGAAACTGAACTTATTTTTATTTTTTGTCATGGCTGCACTAGCTCACAGTCAATTATGAAGCACATGGAAAACAATCATACTGGCTTTTTGCTAAGTTTGTTTTCTTATATTTCCTTGGTCTCATTTTTGAATTTGCAGTAATATTTACTATTTCATCTTAAATATTGTGTCTATAAATTAATGTAGAAAGAAGTTATATGAATCAATATAAATAGCTTTAAAAAAAAAACACACACACACATTCAATACAAAACACTCTAAGATCTCCACAAATAAACTTTAGGGACAGATTTCATAAGTTACAATTAAATTTTAAAAGAGCTAATTGTGAGTTGTAAAACACCTCCAAGAAAGGCTGGTTAACCTGCTCAAAAGATGACTTTCATCAAACTACTTAGCAGCATGTGTGTTATCATCATGTGTAAAATTAAAAGTATTATTACCTTATAGAAAAATCATAAAACCCAAAGAATTTTAGATAGTTTCTGAAGCCCAAATGAATTCTAAGTTTGATTTATCCTCCTTTTAGAGTTGAGGACAATGAGGCACAGGGAGATTTTCTCTGTGCTTACAGAGCTTAGAGTAGACAGAGTTCAGAATGGGATTACAAGTCACAAGGCCATATGTAAGGGGATATTTAAGCAAAATGGTAGATAAAATACTAGGGGTATGAAAAAGGGAAGCAAATGGCACAATATATTTAGCTGTATTAAGTCAACAACCACTGGGTAACTATGAAATTTAAGTTTATTTCTTCTATGGTAATTTAAGAAAAGAAACTTGGAGGAGAAAAAAAAAAGGACTAGAGGAGGGTTTGGACACATAAACATTAAAAACCAAGTATATATAAATAAATACCAAAGTTATGTATGTTACCACTGAAGGTCTCATAGTGATAAAAGTCTGAATGTTCTTTGCTAAAAATTTACATTTTTTATTAAAGAACATTCCTTTTGGAGCCATGGATCTCTTTTTTTAAAGAAACATAGTATATTAAATATTCAGTACTAAATTTGAATGGCAATATTCTCTTAAGTCAAAACGTTTTGTTTGCACAAATAAAACAACATTCTATTCAGATTCTCTTGCATCTGAGCATGGATTATCTGTGAAACATTTGGGAGATTTTATCCAGCTTGTCAGTATATTAAGAGGGAAATCCTTTTGAGGCGCCTGGGTGGCTCAGTCATTAAGTGTCTGCCTCTGCCTTCGGCTCAGGTCATGATTCCAGGGTCCTGGGATTGAGCCCTGCATTGGGCTCCCTGCTCTGCGGGGAGCCTGCTTCTCCCTCTCCCACTCCCCTTGCTTGTGTTCCCTCTCTCACTGTGTCTCTCTCTGTCAAATAAATAAATAAAATATTTAAAAAAAGAAGGAAATCTTTTTATAAGTTTATTAAAGATATTCTCTAATGACTAGATAAGAACAATTTATAATTATATCAACTTATTTTTTAATTTGGCTTGAAACAACAGAAATTTTTTCTCATACTTTGGAGATCAGAAATCCAAAATCACTACCACTGGGCTAAAATCACAGTGTTGGCAGGTCCATGCTTCGTCCGAAGGCTCTGATCCCTGCCTCAAGAAGAATCTGGTGGCTGTTGACATTCCTTGATTTGTGGCCATTGTAACCCCTGCCTCTGCCTCTGAGGTCACATGGCCATCTCTTCGGTGTGTACCAAATCCCCCTCTGCCTCTCCCTCATGAGGACATTTGTGATTGGAGTTGGGGCCCACCTGGATAATCAAAAATAATCTCCCCCTGCAAAGATCTTTAATCACATCTGAATATGCACTTCACTCACTCGCTGGAGGAAGGGAAAGGCCTTCTCCAAGGTCAGGAACATGTGCTGGTCCCCTCCAAAGTTCATTCTCAACTGCCCTTTGGAGACTATATGAACTAAATTTTTTAAAAAGATTTTATTTATTTATTTGACAGAGAGAGAGCACAAGCTGGTGGAATAGCAGGCAGAGGGAGAGGGAGAAGCAGGCTCCCCACTGAGCAAGGAGCCCGATGTGGGATTCGATCCCAGGACCCTGGGATCATGACCTGAGCTGAAGGCAGTTGCTTAACCAACTGAGCCACCCAGGTGACCCTGTATGAACTAAATTTCAATGACACATCTGAAGTGCTTTCCCGAAAGTATTTTCAGAAGTTTTCCCCTGTGTTAAAGCATCTTCCCTGAAGTATAGAAGTATTCTCATTTTTAATTTTTGTGTATTAATGATTTTCATGAGGAAACATTTGTTTATAAACATAATAATTTCTTAGAGAAGCTCAAATGATAATAGTTCATTAGAGAGGAAACTAATCAATCAACCTGTAATGTAACTTTCACTCTATAGCCATTAGTTGCCATACAACATTAATTTCTCTTTATATATAACACTAGCATCTCAATATTTTCTTAGAAAAGGTCAGAATAATTTAAAAAGAATAATACACATCTTATAAATAAAAATATGAAGGCAAAGTAAAAATACTTTGAAGCCTTCAAAATTTAAGATAATACTAAAATTATTTTTTAAAATACAACTCAAGAATTAGGGAATAAAAAAATCTTGTGGAAAAAACCTTTGGAAGGATACCCTGAGAGAACTTCTCCTAACGTGGAAACCTACTAAAGAAATACCCTACATGGACCAGAGATGAAAAATGAGGACAGTGGAATGCAGTGGGCAAGAAGAGACAAAAGATATGTAGTAGAGGATGGAGAGGGAAATTCTTAAAACTAATTCTAGTTAAACCAATAAAAATAAATAAAATAAAACTAGTTAAACCAATAACTCAAAAGCATTTTTAAGAAAATTTTCTAAGACCATGGGGCGCCTGGGTGGCTCAGTCAGTTAAGTGTCCGACTCTCGATCTCAGGTCAGGTCTTGATCTCAGGGTTTTGAGTTCAAGCCCCAAGTTGGGGCTTAACTTAATAAAAAGAAAGAAAATTCTGTAAGACTATAAAAATAGGTTAGAAGCTCATCTGTATACAAGTGTCTATGTGGTACTATTTTAACACAAGGGATAGATTAGTTGATCTCAAGTTAATTTTTATCATCAAAGTTCTCAATTCTAAGTAGCTCAAAATCAGTTACTGACAACACATAGATCTTATTTCCTTCATGAAAGCAGATGGTGTGCTGTGTCTCACTAAGTCACCAGTAAATCATGCTCCCATGCCTACTACATCAAGAAGTGACAAGTGAATGATGCACCCCTTTGCTTTCGTCCAGAAGTATGCAGACAGTAAGTACTGACTCAAATTTTATTTTTTAAAAGTTTTTATTTAAATTCCAGTTAGTTAACATACAGTGTTATATTAGTTTCAGGCATACAGTATAGTGATTCAACAGTTCCATACATCACCCTGTGCTCATCACAACAAGTGCACTCCTTAATCCCCATCACCTATTTCACCCATCCTCCCACCCACCACCCCTCTGGTAACCATCAGTTTGTTCTCTACAGTTAAGAGTCTTTTTTGATTTGTCTCTCCTCTCTCTTATTTTTGTCCCTTTGATTGTTTTGCTTCTTAAATTCCACATATGAGTGAAATCATATGGTATTTTTCTTTCTCTGACTTATTCCACTTAGCATAATACACTCTAGTTCATCCACATAGTTGGGAATGGAAAGATTTCATTCTTTTCCTTATTTTTATTATTTTTATTTAAATTCAATTAGCCAACATATAGTACATCATTAGTTTCAGATGTAGAATGTAATAATTCATCAGTTGCATATAACACCCAGTGCTCACATCACATGCCCTCCTTAATGCCCATCACCCAATTTCCCCAACCTCCCCCACCTCCCCTCCAGCAACCCTCAGTTTGTTTCCTATAGTTAAGAGTCTCTTGATTCCATTCTTCTTGATGGCTGAGTTAATATTTCTTTGTATATACACAGCACTTCTGTATCCATTCACCAGTCGATGGACAATTGGGCTCTTTCCATAATTTGGCTATTTAGATAATGCTGATCTAAACAT